AATAATAATAATGCATTTCTTTAAGGTGAGTATGTTATATCTCAGTATTCTAAAAGAAATAGTAAGATTGATGAGCTGTAGAAATGTGTTCATCCAGCAGATTTATGGATTGGCTCAGATTTGAAGCCAGGCTGTCATGGTAGTTATTTGAACTTGAAAAGCTCCCTGGTTCAGCAGTATTGAACTTGATCAAGTCTTGTAGTGTAGAGTTCAGTGGGATATTGCACTCAGAAAATTTTGAGAATTTTTCTGCTGCAGAGCACTGATTTCTTCTCCCTGTGATGAGAGCAGTGCAAAATGTGAGATTCATGCTGCTTCAGTGATGGAAAGGAAAACTAATAGACCCAGTTTTTATTAAATTTTATTAAATTCAGACACTAGAGGAGAAAAACACTGTTTGTTGTCATTTATTGCATACTTCTGAAGACTCCATTTAACTGGTTAAGTAGGTTGGGATTGCTAATAAATTCTTCTAAAATTTAATAATTTCTTTTAACTGTTGTAACTGTTTTAAAGTGTACAGTGGGTCTAAGGAATCTTGCCAAAATTTAATGGAAAAGATTTGGGGGATCATTGCCAATGTTGACTGGTCTTTTCTTACCTTCAGAAAAGGTAAAAGTGTCTTGGCACAGAAGAGTTATTTTACCTTGGAATGTTACAAACTTAACATTTCCCTTTGAAAAATCTTTCTGCTGGAGATCTTTAACAACTGAATAGTCATCTTTGCATTCATCCTTAGACATAGCAAGATATTTTCCTGTACATCTATGGAAGCAGTTTTTGGAAGGAGACCCCTAGAGAAGCTAATCGGCTCAGATACTGAATTTTGCAGTTTTGTGGGATTTTTGTATGTGGCGGGTTCTTCCAGGCTGCGTCTTGAATCTTCTTACTGTACAATGGATAGAAAGCAAGTGCTTTTGTTTCTGTCAAAGAACCAAACATTATTTTGCAGCTGGAATACCAGAGGTTCACCAAAAGTGATAGTTAGGATTGAAAGAAAAGCCTGTAATGCTGAAGGCTGTTCTCGAACATTGTGGTTTTACTGTATTAAAACGAATGAGTGGTTTGTTGGTTGTCTGCAACTGTGCTGATTGAGCTAACCACAAAGTAACTAGCGAAATAGGATGAGTCTATTTATTTGGCTTTTGGAAACTTCCAAAGAAATATTGCTCAATCAGCAAATCGAGTGGTGATGCAGTATCAGAATTCTATATTTTGCTGTTGCAGGGAGGCCATCTGCGACCGGAAATCCCAACTTCTCAGGTGGTATACACATATTTCTAGAATCTGGCACTCTTCTTGAATGTTGCTTCAGATTTGGGGTGCAGTTTGAAGCAGCTCTCTGGAAAAGGCAAGCTGGATCATTGTGGAACTCTGCAGCTCTCAGAACTATTTGCCAGTTTCATTGAACTGTTATTTGGAGAAATGTGGGGTGATGTAAGAGGAGCAATCACTTCAAGATTCGGGTTGAGAGAGGATAAAAAGAGAAAAAGCTTTGAACACAAGAGAGAGAAGGTAGCTAAATTGGGCTACCTGAGTATTAAGCAGCCATACTGAGTAAACATAAATCAATCAGAGAGAGCCATTGATTGCAGGAACTGTACTATAATAGGATGCATTCTTTAGTTTTGTCACCCGCATGCCCTGCGCAGCTCCCAATCTGCAAGTATGTTTCTGTTCCAAGCGTTCAAGCAGCTGTTTAATTTCCATGCAAAGTGCTTTTAAACTGAGTGACTTGGGGACAAACTCTGGTTGTCAGTTTCATGCTTTAAAAATAACTAGAAGTGAAAGTGATTGGTCCTTGTTTTCTTCTTGGTGTGGTGCTCTTTCAGAAACAGTAACAGGAAGGAGCTGTTCGTGAGTCAGTAAAGGGATAGTGCCAGATGGATGTCAGTCATTCTCCTTTTATTTGAGCTGCAGTGGAAACCGGAGAAACAAAATGGTTTTGATTTTAATTTTTAGGCCTTAATCCCCCCCCCCACAGTCTTGCCATGCATAAACTTGGCAAGTCGCTTTGTTAAAGAGGCCCACAGATGACTAAGTTTTAAAAAGAGTTTAATAAGTGTATTTGTTTCTTAACAAGGATGCTGAAGCATGCTTTGCTTATCTGCTACTGCAGTGCTCTCTACGTGGGGCTTCTCTTGAGGCTGACCCGGAGGCTGCAGCAGGTCCAGAATGAGACAAGACAGGCTGGTGGTGGGTGTGAGCAAGTTTCATTATGTCTCCCTAGTTTCATCTCGCCTGCAGTGGTTACCTGTTGTGTCCCTCGTTAGGTTCCAAGTTTTGATGCTGACTTATAAAACCCTCCGCAGTTTGGGGCCATGTTACTTATTAGAGCACCTATTCCCAGGGTTATCTACCCACACCACCAGATCCTCCCAGGACACATTCCTTCAAGTAGCTGCTCCAAAGGAGGGCAGGACATCATCTACACAGGAAGCTGGGCCTTCTCTGCTATGGCACCAATACTTTGGAATCAGCTCCCAGCTGACCTGGGCCTGGCTCCCTCCCTCACCCATTTTTAGAAGGCTACTGAAAAAGTTGCTTTTCAGAAAGGCCTTTCTGTGCAACCCCTACTTGACTTTTAGGCCTTCTGCTCTGCCTCTTAGTAGGAAATTATGCCTCCTGTGGTATGCTGTGTTTGATTGGTAGACTGTTTCTATTGGTGATGTTATTGCTTTTGGTTGTGTTTTAATTTAATTTGATTTTGTAAAGTACCCAGAACAGGGCTTTGTGCTAATGTTCCGGTGTATACATTAAATAAATAAATAAATAGTTAGTAGATGCTACAGTAGACATGCATGAGCTTATCCCTTCCCTCCAAATTTCACTTGCTTGGACATGTTGCATGATAGTGAGATGACAATAAGTACAAATGCATGCTTTGTTCACAATTCTGCAATATCTTCAGCTGTGCTACTGATGCATTGGCAGTGTGTGCTGTTCACTTGGGGAGGCAGTCCCTTACTGTTGACCTATGTCTTGTTTTGTATTTTACCAAGAGTGCCATGTTGAATGTTTTGGGTTTTCCCCCTTCCCCCATTATCTGCTATATTACACAAAAAGAGGTAATATATATGGATGTGCAATGAAAATTTCTTTTCCTTCTGCCTATTTTTGAGGCACTAAACAAGGAGAAACGCTATAGTTCTGTCTCAGGTCTGAAATGGTGTAAGATATTGTGACATTTGGAGGCCACATCTCCACAGTATGATGCAAGTTTGTGTGTTGGGAGTTTTCTGTTATTTGCAGCAAGATATTGTGACATTTGGAGGCCACATCTAGTGGAACACAGTATGATGCAAGTTTGTGCTTTGGGAGTTTTCTGTTATTTGCAGTGTTGCATGCAATGTTACACTGTAATCAAGGTTAAAATTTTACTTAAAATTGGTATTTTCCCTTCTATCTGCTTTCTTATTTCCAAGCTAGTATGTTGCATAATTAAGAATAAAGGTAAAACCAGATGATTCAGTTACCTCACCTCTAGGTATTTCGATAATAGTGGCAGCCTGGAGCTACAGATTCTACTGACATACATTCATAGGGTTGCTAAATTTCATTTTCCTAGACCCAAGTTAGAATGATTTGGTTGCTGTCATAATCTTGTTCAATGTTAGAATAGTTTTATAAATGAAGTTTAAAACAAATGGAAAGCTATTTTGCTTTGTGTTTTTTAGCGGGGAGGTGTTCTCCTCTTCCTGGATCTGCTACACCCGAGTTGCGCGTATAAACATAAGACTTTTGACCTGATGTACTACTGTAGTAGTTTACTTTGTGCTATAGAAAGTTTTTGTACTCTTGCTCTAGTACATTTGATACTTAAGGAAATTCCTATCAAATAAATGCCCATTAAAAATAATATCCTAGCTGAGTCTGCGTCGCCAAGTAATCTTTCCGCTTCTACCCGTA